GTGTGTTTTGTCAAATGGCTGCCTCCTACTTAAGCATGCATGGGTGTAAACCGAAACCCTCGGGAAACACAGCTGCTTAACCCCCTAACGCCTTTCACGGAGGCCTCTTTCTCTTTGGCAGCACCCCTTTGCCTTGAGGTTCACTATCTGTGTTTGGTCTAAGTGTGAAAAGCAGCTGTCAGTGCATTAAAGTTGAGGTGCACAAAGCAAGGTTAGATTCACCCACCCACACCCCTACCTCAGTGTCCAGGTTTCTTTCTTTCCATCTTGTTGCAAGAGGATAGATTTTTTTCTTTATTTAAAAAGTAATGTAAATCTGTGACATTTTCCCCCGGGTCGATTCCAGGGGAGTATTTCCTAAGGGCCTGTAGGACAGTTGAGCACCTCATGGAAGAGGATGCAAAAGCCTGGAGGATTACCACCAACTGGCTCCCATTACAATTACAGGAAGGTTTTGATCACTGTGGCCAGTGAGTGACCAAAGTGGGGGGGAAAGGGAGATAGCAGTGAAAATCTGCACAGCATTAATCCACGTCTATGCAGTCACTTACCAAGCACAGCAGTGGTGCCTTTGCTCACTCCACACAGCTCTGGGAGGGCTTCTTCCTAAACTGGAAACAGAGTCACTATGTCCAGGCAGTGTCCCAGGTGGGCTGATTAGTATGGGGCCTGGCTAATTGACACTGAAACTCAGCTGCACTAATTACTCTGCCTAGCACCGTGTGTGGATGTGGCTTCCCTGCTTCTAGTTTAGAAGGCAATGCACTCAGAGTGGTGTGGGCACACTGGAGGGCACTGCCACCAGAGACAGTGCTCTTCCCATATTGACGTGCCCCCAGTCTACCAGGCAATAATGAGGTGCCAAAGGGGATGACGGAACCGCCTAAATAACCAAGCATTTGGTTACTCACCTACGTGGTATGTACGGGCTCGGCCTCCAAATCAGAACCTCCCAAACCCCCAAACGCTGGAAGCTGCGGTGGGAACGGAGCGGGTGATGGAAAATTCTGGATGTGCCCTGTTAACCTTCCTACTGAGCCATCTCCTCTTTTCTGTTGCATGAGACAGGACACTGGGACAGACGGACCTATGGTCTGACCCAGTAAGTGCCAGTTCTTATTTCCTTCTCTGCTGTCCACACACTTGACACCATGCAAGACTGAGTTCTTTGGGGCAGGCACCATCTGTCTTTGATTAGATGACTGCACCATACCCAGCCTCGTGGGATAACAATCTGCTGGCTCTATCATAAATAGTATTGTAGATGGGGGAAGAAAAAGCTCTTGAAAGGTATCAGCTAAAAAAATAAAAATAGCAATGAATCTGAACTTTGTATGGGCCTTTCTCCCATAGATCTCTAAATGCCAATACAGGTATATTCACAGACAGGTGAAGAACAAGCATCCTTTTCACAGGTATAATCTGCACCTGAAAAATACACCGTAGGAGCAAATCCAGGTACTTCATCCTCCTGCCCTGCACTTGTGCTGGGGCACTGCAAGGCACAGGGCTCAGAGCTGCACCTGCGAGCAAAAATAAAGATGCTGCATTCACAAGAGCAGTTAGTGCCCATAAAAAGGAACCCCATCCTGAAAACATGCCCTTGAAGCTCACAAGATCCCACAAGACTGATTAACTTCATTGGCAGGGAAAGGGAAAGTCTCTTCCCACCATAACCTCGTGAGTCAGTGCCAGGATCAGGGATCAGACATGGGAATACCGATTTTTAGTCCCTTATTCTAACCACTAAACATGCTTCCCATATCCATTAACTTCAGTATTAATCAAACGAAGCAATATGGTGTCCAAGATTAGACAGCAGACGATGCAACAGCTTAGAGCACTGCACTTCCTCTCTCAAAATGGCTCTCTCTGCCCCTGCTATTATCGCTACATCATGTTCCTTCCCAGTTTGAGAGCAGACATGAGGTACATAGAAGAGTGTCGCTCCCACCATAAGATCACTGGTGTCCCTAACTCCACTGACGTCAGTCAGGTTATGCTAGGGGGAAGTGTGACTCGCAGCATGCAAAGATACCCCCCTCCTTACCCGTGCAGATCATATACACCCTCCTCCACAGATGGTACAACAAGCAATCAGAAGCAGGGAACAATTTCCCCCTGTTATCGAGCCGATTCTCCAGTTGATACAAAAGAGATTTGTATTGATGTGGACGCTTTGACACTTTGGCACAAATTTCCACCAAGGTCCAACAGATCATGAGGCCATTCTTTATTGCTAATTAGAAAATATTCCATTGAAAAACACCTTTCAGTTCCCATTTCATTTATGTTTTGGGGTATGGGAGTGATAAAAGGAACTGAATACATTCAGAGAAAATATGACAAAGGCAGACGATAACATGCTAAACCCTATTGAGAGGTGAGAAAAGAACAGATTAAAAAGTAGGGAATTATTGAAATACAGTGAAACAATGAGTAATGACCTGAAACTCAAACTGGTTAGGGGTTAAAAAGGAAGGATGATCTTCTGGTTCAGACAGTGGGATAGAGGACACCATTTTCCATTCCTGGCTCTGCTACAAACTTCCTTTGTGACCTTAGGGAAGTCACAGGGGCGCCAGACTTTCAGACAGGTAGTGCTCCCACATACACAGCTGGACAAAGCTCAGACTAGCATGCTGGGTCCTGAGCTCATTTGGAAACCAGGACCTACTTATCTGCCTTATTTCCCAACCATCTGAAATCAGAGCAATAATATGAGTATTCTGGGCTACTTAAATTTTCACAAGTTCTTCAGGGCTGGGACTGTAACTTGTTATAGATTTGTAAATGGCCAAACACAGTGGGTCCTGTAGATGCTACTACTGTAGTACAAATAAAGAAGAAGAAACAACAAAAAGCAACAGGATCAATTAGATAATGAATAATTTGCTACATAAAACACTAGGTGTCAGATCCTATTCTGCCTGTCAGATACATAAGTACTGTCACAACCCAAGGGTGTGGTTTTGTTTGTGTGCGCTTCGGCACTGCTAAATTATTTCCCGCCACTCGGAGCTTTCTTTGCAGGGCGCATTTCTTAGTTGTAAAGAGAAATGCACGGTGCAAAGGAGTTCCCGCCATTCGCATGCAAATTTGTGTCCCACTATTGGCCAGTTCTAAATTATTCCCATGGGGCGGCTAGCGATTGGCTTGCTAGCCACATAAGAGGCTTGAGCGGTTTCCACCCAAGTTGGAGAACTCCGAGGAGAACCCCCGCAAGGGAGAACTCCACAACCATCTGGAGGAGGAGAACTTCACGTCTTGTGAAGATCTCTAAGCCCTGCGGAGCCTATCGAACCCAGCGCAGGCTATAGGGGTCTGATCAACCTCTGGCCTCTCCCTGTCGCCGAACCCCTTCCCTGCGCGCAAGTTCCACGGAGCCTAGCAAACTTCGTGTGTGTATCCAGAGCTCTACCCGGGTTCAAGTCTTGCAGGTTTATCTTCCTGTCGCTGAAAACCCATTGCGACGTACTCTCGTGTTTTGCATCTTCCCATTGCCGAAAACCCTGCGACGTACTCTCGTGCCCTGCAGGTTCGAGTTTTGTTTTGTTTTGTTTTGTAGCTGCAACTCAAGCAAGTTTTCCTGCCTGCACCGCGACCATCTTCGGTGTAAGTAAAATAATCTTTAATCAACCGCTAAGCGTCCGTGCCTAATTCTAGCCCGCCGGCCTGCATTCCCCGACCCAGCGTGTCCGGGCTGCTGGCCACAGCCCGCCGCGCGCAGGCCCCCGAGGGCCTCGGACCGCTCCCGGCCCACACAAGTACCACATAATGCACAACATGGATGGGTGCTCTTCCACCTTGCTACTTCTTGTGAGTTGGTCGTGAGGCCCAGATTAAGGTGACTTTCAAAAGCAGACACAGTACCAGCTTTTCAGTGACTCAAGCAGGCTGGAATAGGATTGCACTTAGATGCCCACAAGGTGGGATAGGATCTGGCCCCAGAGATGTTAAAGAAAATGCCTGAAATTCAAGAATACAGCAGTGAGGTGGACTTGGCCATTTCCTACCCTCATGTCCAGGGCTCTGCAAGACTGATTACAGAGAGGTGGAAGTGGCAATAAGTTGGCCATGCCAGGGCAAGAGAAGGACTGATGAAGTGGATTAGAGACCAGTGTGCAATAAATGTGACAAAAATAAGACCAGCTGCTGATGAACATGGGAAGACAAACCAAGCAGAGGTCCCTTGCAGGACCCCACTGGTCATATTCATCTTCGATGCATTTCCACCACCACCTTCCACGGTAAGCTCTTCACCTCCCTAGGGTCTAAGTGAGGCTGTGACAAAAGACTCAGAAAGGATAGTCCATTGGTTTTGAGCACTAGTTCTTGATTCAGGAAATGCAGGTTCAATTCCCTCCTCCACTGTGACTTCCTCAATGTGCTTAGGCCCTCTTACCTCAGTTTCCCACCTGCAAAATGGGGCTTGGAGCATATCCCTATTTAAAAAAATGGTGCTGTGAGGATAAATACATTAAACAACCTACACCCCTTAAACATAGTGAAGTGCTCAGATTCTACAGTATTGGGAATCAGATATATACTCTGGATACATTCTTCCCCTCACATTTTTGGCAAAAAAATCCCTTGTGATAGAGGTGGAGGTGACTTGGAGAATCCTATTAGAAACCTATTCTCATTCCCTCTGAGCCGGACTGATGCTGAGAATTGTTAGTAGAAGAACCAATCAGTCAGTGGTAAACCCAAAACGAAGGAGAAATGAGTAGAACTGGGATATTCCCCTGCTCTCCTTCACCTGGGATGACTAAGGGGTGCGGTTGCAAAGAAAACCTCAGTGACAGGAAGACAAGAGATCTGGATTCCCAAATGTTTGCAAAGACAACAGCTGCCAGTGAGATGCCACCGTGCTCCTAGGTAAATGAACATCTGAGCTCCAAAAGCCTAACAGGTGCTGGAGAAGCAATGATTTCAGAAGAAAGGGAAGTGGATCTAAATGGGTGGTAGGTGCTGAGTAGGTAAAAACGAGGTCCTGACTAGCACAGGTAGGAGTTAATGAATGCACAACATCCAAAAAGTTCCTCGTGGCTGGGAATCTGCAAACAAAGAGAGCTTGTAGACACCAGAGGTGCCTTGACGCTAACAGGTTTCAACGAGTAAAGGGAGCGTTCCTGGAGCAAGTGACAACAGCTGCTATGAAGAAGTCTAATGAAGGCCCCAAGGGAATCTGCTGCAGATCAAGTTCAGTCTTCCTGTTTATTGACAGAGATAATGGTGGCTTGGTAGGCTGGACTTGACTCTGGAGGAAAAGCTGGAGAAGTGTGAGCTGCTACTGCAGGCTCAGAGAAGTGAAGAAACAAATAGTAGAGACAAGGCACGTTGAAACCCCACGAGAGAGAGGTGGGAACTGCAGAAAGCCTCTGAGGAACGTGGCTTGGGGAGGAGGGAGCTTGGGACCTGCATGAAAAGCAGAAAAGACGTGTAGTAGTGACCAGAGATGGAAACCGAATAGCACACGGCAGAGTTTCAGCCCAGAGAAAAGGACCCGTGCTGCCAGAGTGACAGAGGCGAGAGGGAGACAGAGGCACTTGCTGGCCAAACGGCGAAGAATCATCACAAAGCCAGGC